GTTCCAGGAGAGCCAAGACTACACAGAGAAACCCTGTCTCGAAAAACAAAACAAAACAACAAACAAACAAACAAAAAAGAACAAAAAAAAAAGAAGAAGAAAGTGCTGTTGTGTGGAGGCGCTGAGCTGGGGCAGACTGCCTGCTCACCACCAGGGAGGCTTGAGCTCACACAGATTCTCAACAATAAAGGGCCGCAAGAGCTGGGAGCTGAATCCAGTTCCTCTACAAGAGCAGCTGATGCTCTTAACTGCTGAGCCATCTCTCCAGGTCCCCCCACTTCCCATTTTTTAAGTAAATCTCAGCATGTAGCCCAACTTTACCTCGAATTTTCAACTATCCCCCTGCCTCGGCCTCTCTTGTACTGTCTTTAATCACCCCTCCTCCGTAGCTGAGATTTATCGTGCTAGGTCCTTAGGCTTAGCACCAAGCCTCTTTACCAAGGGAGCCATCTTACTCACCCTGTCTGTCATCTATCTATCTATCTATCTATCTATCTATCTATCTATCTATCTATCTATCTATCTATCTAGGCAGAGTCCGCAGCTCAGCTTGTCCTGAGTTCTGAAACTCACTCTGAACCCCATGCTTACCCTGAATTCCTGAATCTTCTGCCTCCACCTCGTAAGCACCGGAGTTACACGCTGTGGACACCACTCCAGTAAACACCGTGTCCTGGAACAAGTGAATGAATGGATGGATAGATGACTGGATAAGTGCGTGAATGAGTGAGTGAGGTAAACTAAGTGATGATTCACGCACTTGCTCAGCATTCCTGAGGTCCTGGGCTCCGTTTCGGATCACCTTTTTTTTTGGGGGGGTGGGCGTGCGGTAAGAGAGGAAAAGTTGAGTGTGGTGGCTCAGATCTGGAATCGCATCACTTAGGAGGTGGGGGCGGGAGGTTTAGGAGTTCAAGGCTAGACGTGGCTAACAAGCCCCTCTTAAAAAGAGAAACTTCAGGGGGATCCCCTCCCCTCCCCCCCCTCCCCGTACAGCTAAGCCCGGCGCCCCTGCAACACCCTTCGCTGCCGCCAGAGGGCGCACAGGACCGACCCCAGAGCGTGTCCCGGGACCCCGCCCGGAGATGCGCGCCCTGGAGCACTCAGAGACGGGCACCCCGGCCCCACCCCATCTGTACCCCGCAGGACCCGGGGCTCGAAGCCTGCACATTAGCCTGCTCGCCTCTGCAGGAAGGGAAACTGAGGCCCGGCGGCCGGAGAGGGGCGGGTCCCAGAACACGAGCCCCCGCCCCCCAGTGGCCCCGCCCCGGCCAGTAAGAGTCCCGAGCGCGAGGCAGGGCGCAAAGTGGAGACAGTGGGCGACGGCGCGATGGCTGCGCAGCGGCTGGGCAAACGCGTGCTGAGCAAGCTGCAGTCCCCGTCGCGGGCCCGCGGCCCGGGGGGCAGCCCCAGCGGGCTGCAGAAGCGCCACGCGCGAGTCACCGTCAAGTACGACCGGCGGGAGCTGCAGCGGCGGCTGGACGTGGAGAAGTGGATCGACGGACGCTTGGAGGAGCTGTACCGCGGCAGGGTGAGACTCAGAGGGGCCGGGGCTGAGGGACGGAGGTAGCCTGAGACTCTACGACCCTGCGACCTCGGTGACCCTAGTACATGCTCGCGGTGCAACGACAGCAGCCTTTGCTAGGAGGCTAGCTTGTGGACACTCGGACGTGCACCCAGAAGCCCCAGACATGTGTGTGGCCAATCAACTCAGACAGCTGGGAAGGTCTGGGGATGTGATGGGGTGGGGAGGAGGAGAGCCAACATATTGAGAGAACAGAGATAGGGACAGGGGATGTCCTTAAGCCAAACATAGACATGGGTGACAAGGGAGATAGGACAGCAGCGACTCTCAGCAGAGGAAGCAACAGTATATACAGATGACGGAAGTCACAGCCAGTCATAGAAACAGCACCAAAGTGAGCCACACACAAACTCACAGGAATACAAGTGGATTAACTTAAGGGACAGCATGGCCTGCCGCGGGCACAGAAACATGCACGCACAACACAGTCACCCTCGGCACCAAGTGAAGAGATACGCAGCGATACGCATCAGTCTCAGCGGTAGTGCTCCAAGCTCCAATAGCTATCCGGGGACACAGAGTGACTCAAGTTACATAGGGCCATTATCTGCGGCCAAAAAAAAAAAAAAAAAAAAAAAAAAA